CCAGGACTGAAATCATGAACGTTAAAGACACCAGGACTGAAATCATGAACGTTAAAGACACCAGGACTGAAATCATGAACGTTAAAGACACCAGGACTGAAATCATGCGCGTGAACCCCACGCTACAACCAAAATGACAAGCGTTCAACCCACACCATTAGGCCTACCCAAACCATAATATCAGGGGCAGATCACCGAAGCACCATTATAATGTCTGCCCAGGTGAACATACACAGTAGGATATTTGGCGCAACAGTCATTTGTAATGGCAAGACAACATCAATAGTAAGTGTCGCAACACGGTTGTATCAGGCGATCGTCTGGAGATCGTTATTAGTTTAATCATAAAGCCTGTTCATTTGCCTTCCCTTTACTGGTTAAAATACCCATCTATGTTGAATAGAAATCGAGATATTTGCGATTGGGGGAGTTTGGGTTGTCTGGTATCAGAGGTAGAAACAGCGACAAAATGGTAGCCAAATGTTGGTGCTTTCTAATAGTCGACTATCTCTGTCCGTCTGCTAGGATGTACCCCCCCCCCCCTTCCCTCCTCTCTCAGCCCAGGCTGGCGTGGCAGGCAGTGCAGGAAGCCCGCCTCCTAAATGATCAAAACTGTGTCGATGGGGGAGTAAAAACGACTATATTATTATACAAACAAAAACAAAAACACAAAGAAAAACTATGCCAAACTTAACATGCTTGAGCTGGCTGTGGACTGGCTACAGTGTTTGATGGCACACTTTGGTCAGATTGAGCAAATGGTGAAACGTTGTTGTTGTTGTTGTTGTTGTTGTTGTTGTAGTTGTTGTTGTTGTTGTTGTTGTTGTTGTTGTTGTTGTTGTTGTTGTAGTGGGTCATAGTAGTTGTAGTTGTTGTTGTTGTTGTTGTTGTTGTTGTTGTTGTTGTAGTTGTCACAATTGTTGTAGTAGTCACAATTGTTGTAGTGGGTGTCGTTGGCCACAGTTGCTGTAGTTGTTGTAGTAACTGTTGTTGTAGTTGTAGTTGTTGTTGCTTTTGCTGTCGTCGTTGGCCACAGAGGCACCGTCTTTGAACTCAATGCCGCTCCACTATCTCACCTGCCTGGGTCATGAATACAGTTCTGGGGAGGAAAAAAGAGAATAGGATAATAAATAAATAAATATA